TATTGACGACTATTCTTATAGGACCGATAAAAATATTGAGTTTTCAGATGGTGTGTTAATTATTCAAGGAGATTCAACGAATGATTATGGTACTCAATATACCATTGATAGAGCTGAAGAATTGAAAAAGAAATTGAAAATTGTGAATGTATTCGCAAGTAATTTAGACGAGGTTGTGAAATGGATTGTTAATAATAATATACGCTCATTAAATGTCTCTGGAGCAAGGAAAAGTAATTTGTTAGGAGTAGATCTCCAAGTGAAAATGGGTTTCAAAAAGTTTTTGAACAATATTCATAATGAAATTCTTCAAAATAATGAATTTCAGACATTATTCTAAATAACATTTATGCCCGTTATTTCACGACAATAAGTTTAAGTTTATCTAAATTGAACTTTAAATATACATTATTCTTGTAAATTAAATTTTCAATTTTTTCAATTTCAAAAAAAACATTTTAAAAGATTTGATAGTGCACCCTCTATAAATGCATACCCTCTCTAAATGCACACTCAAGTGCCGGCCCAAATATATACTTTACCTCCATAAATGCACTTTTTCTTATTATTATCTATATGAACGTTATTAAAGTGTAGTCCTAAGGGAGTGCACTTAGAGAGGTCTCACTGTATTGGGTTTTACATAATTTTATCACAAAATATTGAGCCATTAAGGATATACATCTATTTAAAATTTGTGAAGAATTATAGCACATCGATTCGGGTCTGCACAGGCATGGAATGGGGAAATTTGTAGTTATTGTTTAATTGTGCATTGTTGGTACTTTGCCTGGCATCTTGTGTTAAGCCCATTCCTTTGCTAGATAACATGCATGCCGGCACTTTGTGCTCATATCCTTAATGGTGCCAGGTAGTTTATGCCCATGTCTTTAATAGTTCCTAGACTTTTGCTTTAGGCACAGACAGTATTAGTAGGGATTGCAACGGTCTCGCAGTAATTATCAGCCGACTTTGAGCAAGATTTGTAAAACATGGTATTTATAACTAGCGCTCAATTAATAAGTAAAGTTGTAGAAAACTTATTTTTTTATAATAGTATCTAATAGAAGTCTATCAGTTTTAGCATTAGTTTTTGATTAATTTGATGGGACCGATCAGCTAAATTTTCAACCACACTGTTCGGTCCCATCTAAATTACTCAAAAACTAATGCTAAAACTGATAAACTTTTATTAGATACTATTATAAAAAAAAACAAAATTTCTAAAACTTATTAATTTAACACTAGTTAAGAATGCCAATTTTTTAAAAATCTTGCTCAAAGTCGGCTGATAATTACTGCGGAACCGTTGCCATCTCTAGGTATTAGTGTCTCGGCCTAATCCTAATGCACCAGGAATATGTATTTATATTTGTAATGGCATATATCATTTAATCACAATAAACTTTATTTCTGTGTTATTTAAATAATCAAATGTGAATATGTTAAAAGAAATAAAAATATTTAAATTTTTATTAATATATTTAATCCTTCGTGATTGCTCACAAATACAAATGTGGTTTTATTATTTAATAAATCACAAATATCTGTTTCTAATATGTTACGGTTATACAACATTGAACATGATATATTTGAAAGCGACGCTGAATGAGAAAATGAAGCTACTTTTGCCGCTTCGCTAGTTGATCCAACGCTTATTTTCCTAACGTTTGGTAATTTCTTACAAATCCAATTCTTGCACTCTTCAAAAGCCTATAAAATAAATTTTAGTTGAAATATTTTATACTTTTTAAATTAAAACAACTACCGTATTTTCTCGTAATAACGGTAGTAACTATTACCTACTGATTCATGACTATACAATTTTTCTATTCCTAAAATATCATTTTGTACTGAGAGTAATGCATACCTCACAGGTGTCTCAATTTCGAATTTAACTTTAAACCTTTCAAATAAATGATTTTGTTCGAATGTATCAATTCCGTTTACTTGGGTGGGAACTAACAGACACTTATCATATCTTAGTATTGGTAGAATTTTAATTAATTCGCTCTTTTCCTTTAAAAGGACTATTTCAACATTAGCACATTTCTCACGCATTTTTTGAAAAATTTTCTGTGCAGTAAAATACGAAAAAGAACCTTCCGGACCGAGAGTATAAAACTTTCTGATTGAATCATAAATCAGAAATCCACTATTTTGAAGAATTTCATCATGAATATTGTTCAAAAATTTTTTGAAAACCATTTTCACTTGGAGATCTACTTCTAACAAATTACTTTTCCTTTCTCCAGAGATATTTAATAAGCGTATATTATTATTAACAATCCATTTCACAACCTTGTCTAAATTACTTGTGAATACATTCACAATTTTCAATTTCTTTTTCAATTCTTCAGCTCTATTAATGGTATATTGAGTACCATAATCATTCATTGAATCTCCTTGAATAATTAACACACCATCTGAAAACTCAATATTTTTATCGGTCCTATAAGAATAGTCGTCAATA